GGTCAGAAGAGGTGGTTACAGATCCACCTACATAGGGCTTAACCCAAAATAGAAGATAAAGATTCAAAGTATACTAGGAGTGTCAAAAGAAAGAGACTCCAAACTGATTTTAGTAAGAGCAGAGTATAGAGAAATATGTAATAATTAATAAGATCCAGAATTAGCACTGAGTATCAATCCATAAAGTGTATCCATAAGAATACTGGTAAAAGGGAGTGCTGCAGAAAATTAGAATATACAGATACTTTATTATATTGCAAAAAACAAAGCAGCACTATCCCTAAATGTAGGCAAAGGTATCTTAATGGATAAATATACAAATGAGCTAAGAGGGGGTAAGCTAGCAGTGGAAATAGGAGAATGGACTGCAGAGTAGAAAATAGATCAAAGGAGGGTCAACCCAAAAATATATATATTGCCTAGATTATAGCTATAGTCATAAAAATGGGCTATAGACCCTTTTATATCTGCAAGATGTAACTGCAAAGATTGTCAAAAATACACAGTAGCATATGGCTAAAAATCCTGCCTACTGCGAGGGATAGACTGCAGAAATAGTTGGACAAATGCACAGAGACTTAGTCAGATATAAGATGCTGAAACTCATCAGGTAGAACATAGAGGAGTATATAGACTGATAGAAAAAAAAAAAAAAAAAGATTTTCTATAAAGTCCCTATTACTCCTGAAACAAACACCTTGGAGGGTGTTCTACTCTATCCCTGACTAGTAGGACAGATGGCAGATAGAATCTAGCTGTTAGTCCCCCCCCTCCCCCATGAAAGTAAAGTGGTTCAAAGACCTAGTGCCACCATAAGTGAAAAAAAGTGAACGCTAAGCTAGAGCTCAACGCGTGTTTTCGGTGCTTCAAATGCACCTTCGTCAGGGGTTTAACATACACCAGGGAGTGACTAAGCTTATAAATCTTTAGGAGCCAATCAAAGTTGTCTCCAAAATTGATCGAACATCTACCGGTATGTAAAGAATACAGTATGGGCGACAGGGTACAGGGCACGTCATAATTATGCAGACCACGTGATCGCATAAAGGCGGAGTAAAATAATTTCATTGGTCAAGGGGAAGTCAGGGGAACACCCACGTCATAAATATGCGGACAGCGTGATCGCATTGAGGCGGTCGTAGCCCAGTACCCACGTGTGTCTAGAGGGCGGCAAAAGGGGGCGGACAAGAAAAAACAGACCAACCCATATGGGAATGAGTGAGATGATAAATGGGATGGGCTTAACGCCGCCTCAGTTACCCAATCCTTCTACTTCTCATCCTAAGGAAATAAAGTAGTAATGTATTTAATTGTCGAGATGCATTAAAGTCAAATACAAAAAGCCTCAAATCATAACCCCAAGTGTCCCATAAGGATGATCAGCCCATATGATGTACCATTAATAAAAGAGAGACAAAGATTGGCAAATGTAATAGAAGGTAGCCCCTATATAGTTACTAGATGGCCATCCAGGATATAAAGTCAATTAAAACTAATTATGATGCATAGTAAATATGATAATATACTGAACGAAAATTGTTTTCCCATTTAGGTTACAAAATGTAACAATGTAACTATAATTATACTTGTTACTGGAAATTAATACATCTATGTTAATGAAGAAAAAAAAATAAAAAATTAGGGGCTTAATATCTAAACAGTCACTCGAGGAGTAGTATAAATTCAATTTTCTAAATTATAGGAAATCAGTGATATAGAATGGTGATGAAAAAAGTGTTGAAAAAAAGGGAAAAATATTTTAAATAACTATGGATCATAAGAAAATTATAAAAAATAATATATATATATATATAATAATATCAGAGATCGCTAATAAAGGAAGAATAAGAGAAACCTAGACAAGCTCCTTAGGAGAAGGGAGTGTTTTTGGATTTATCGCCACACTGTCTCCTATGGGACTTAATGAAGGTTTCTCTTATTCTTCCTTTATTAGCGATCTCTGATATTAAAATGACATCTAACGCAGTGATATATATATATAAAAAAATAATATATATAAAACATTTTTTTTATAATTTTCTTATGATCCATAGTTATTTAAAATATTTTTCCCTTTTTTTCAACACTTTTTTCATCACCATTCTATATCACTGATTTCCTATAATTTAGGAAATTGAATTTATACTACTCCTCGAGTGACTGTTTAGATATTAAGCCCCTAATTTTTTTTTCCCTTCATTAACATAGATGTATTAATTTCCAATAACAAGTATAATTATAGTTACGTTGTTACATTTTGTAACCTAAATGGGAAAACAATTTTCGTTCAGTATATTATCATATTTACTATGTATCATAATTGTATTAGTTTTAATTGACTTTATATCCTGGATGGCCATCTAGTAACTATATAGGGGCTACCTTCTATTACATTTGCCAATCTTTGTCTCTCTTTTATTAATGGTACATCATATGGGCTGATCATCCTTATGGGACACTTGGGGTTATGATTTGAGGCTTTTTGTATTTGACTTTGATTAATGCATCTCGACAATTAAATACATTACTACTTTATTTCCTTAGGATGAGAAGTAGAAGGATTGGGTAACCGAGGCGGCGTTAAGCCCATCCCATTTACCATCTTACTCAGTCCCATATGGGTTGGTCTGTTTTTTCTTGTCCGCCCCCTTTTGCCGCCCTCTAGACACACGTGGTACTGGGCTACGACCGCCTCATTGCGATCACGCTGTCCGCATAATTATGATGTGGGTGTTCCCCTGACTTCCCCTTGACCAATGAAATTATTTTACTCCGCCTTTATGCGATCACGTGGTCTGCATAATTATGACGTGCCCTGTACCCCGTCGCCCATACTGTGTTCTTTACACACCGGTAGATGTTCGATCAATTTTGGAGACAACTTTGATTGGCTCCTAAAGATTTATAAGCTTAGTCACTCCCTGGTGTATGTTAAACCCCTGATGAAGGTGCATTTGAAGCACCGAAACGCGCGTCGGGCTCTAGCTTAGCGTTCACTTTTTTTCACTTATGGTGGCACTAGGTCTTTGAACCACTTTATGATTTTTTGTTATTTTTAGTTAGCACTGAGAGCTATCTTTACTTTCATGGGTGGGCGGGGGGACTAACAGCTAGATTCTATCTGCCATCTGTCCTACTAGTCAGGGATAGAGTAGAACACCCTCCAAGGTGTTTGTTTCAGGAGTAATAGGGACTTTATAGAAATTCCTTTTTTTTTTTTTTTCCCTATCAGTCTATATACTCCTCTATGTTCTACCTGATGAGTTTCAGCATCTTATATCTGACTAAGTCTCTGTGCATTTGTCCAACTATTTCTGCAGTCTATCCCTCGCAGTAGGCAGGATTTTTAGCCATATGCTACTGTGTATTTTTGACAATCTTTGCAGTTACATCTTGCAGATATAAAAGGGTCTATAGCCCATTTTTATGACTATAGCTATAATCTAGGCAATATATATATTTTTTGGTTGACCCTCCTTTGATCTATTTTCTACTCTGCAGTCCATTCTCCTATTTCCGCTGCTAGCTTACCCCCTCTTAGCTCATTTGTATATTTATCCATTAAGATACCTTTGCCTACATTTAGGGATAGTGCTGCTTTGTTTTTTGCAATATAATAAAGTATCTGTATATTCTAATTTTCTGCAGCACTCCCTTTTACCAGTATTCTTATGGATACACTTTATGGATTGATACTCAGTGCTAATTCTGGATCTTATTAATTATTAAATATTTCTCCATACTCTGCTCTTATTAAAATCAGTTTGGAGTCTCTTTCTTTTGACACTCCTAGTATACTTTGAATCTTTAGACCTACATCTATCCTCTGTTTGTACTCCCACCTCTGATGCTCACCTTCAAGACTTCTCTAAGGCTGCACTGTTTCTGTGAAATTCTCTTCCATTCTCCATTAGACTTTCACCCAGTCTTCATTCCTTTAAAAAATCAGTGACTCACTCATCAAGACTTACTTCTTAAGGAAAGCATATCAATTAAAATGTTAATAGCTTTCATTCTCCACATCCTGATTCCACATGTGCAATTGTCATTAAAAAAACAAACAAAAAAAAACCCTCTAATCCCTCAGTGAATACTATTCTAGCAACCTACTTTTCTATCCTACCCTTAACTTGTATGTCACTATACCCCACCACCTCATTTAAGCAGGGCCCTCAACCACTCTGTTCCTCTGCATCCAACTCGTCTGGCTACAAATATGTGTCTGTTAGTCCACCCATTGTACAGTGCTGCAGAATTTGTTGCCACTTTATAAATAATAATAATATAGAATTCTGAAAGATGTGACTGTATAAACAGATACATCTTTAAACATCTGATAATACCATCTGAGATAGGTTTTTATAACTTCAGAGTATGCATACTTCTAATTTTACTTATCAGGAAGTGCTTGAACACATCTTGGTTCCCAAAACAATAGGTCCCCAATCATGAACATGACAATTCCACTGTATATAGTGTATATATGTGTATATAGTGGTTTGGTGATTGGACTTATATACTTAGTCTAATTTCAGCTTCCTTTATATTTTTTGTTTCCTCCTAAAAAATGTGTTTAATGGCTTAAAGTGAATCTGTCGTGACATATATAAGTTTGCCATTTTCGAACGATCTGGCTTGACTTATACAATTAAGGGTTTCTTCCCTTAATATTATTAAAAGGCCGTATTTTAGAGGGATCGGGGCCTGACTATCATGGTGGAAGGACATGCATTGCATGAACTCCTCTCCTACACTACATAAAACTGTGGTTTCTGGTCCCCTCTAGCCTGCTTCAAATTGAATTCCACTGCTTACCAGCTTGTGTCCTGGCGGAGCTGCACAGCACGGGCCGAAGAGGTGCCTGAAGCTCGTCTACCACACTGTTTGAAACATGCAGCCTTGTGCGCCCTGAGCGAGAGAGGCGGACGATCTCCCAGGACATTTAGCATTAAGCAAGAGCCCCGCTCTTTTGGACCGGCGGGGGTGATCCCGGTCCATCCATGGGAGGCTACACCGACCATAAGACACACCAGGGTGAAGCCACAGAGGCTGACAACTACTCTAGCGGCAAATCCAACATGGCAGATGCCTCATGGTTCCACGGTGGCGCAGAAGAACCACATGATACTTGGTCCAAGCTGGACGAGACCTTCGATAACTTCGGGCAGAGGCTGGAGAGCAAGATGAGTCAGGCTGGTTTACAGCAGCCATGTGGTCACTCACCATACAAACCGGAGAACATCACACAGCAAAAACCCAAGGCCTTGGCAGTAAAGCAGGCCCCAAAATGATGCCAACAAAGGAAGCACACACCACTCTAACGTAAGGCAGCTAGACAGCGATGACAGCTACGATCTCCTGATGGGTCCATTACCTTCTCAGAGATACAAAGTATCCCCGACCGTGATATGTGGCCTGATCTGCTGGCTCACCTCGAGACCTGATACTCCCCATGGCAGTGAGACAGTCATACCCTTGGTCGGCATAGGTTGACCTGAGGGACTAAGGGACTTATTCCCCCAATACTGTTTAGATGGGGAGATGTGTGGGTCACTGCCTACCACTCAAGCACCCTCCTTTCCGTCTATAGGTTTTTGAGCTTTTATTCTTTTTCTTTCACCATGTTATGCTTCTAACCAGTTAGGGGCCTCCTAGGGGACTTCTCCTGTTATATACAGCTAACATGATACCATCTCTTTATCTTTAAAAAATGGAACAAAATGCTTTGTTTAGCTTATCTACTCTTAATATAAAATGTGCAGTATTTCTCATGTGCCATGACAATGTAACCATGTGTATCTACCTAAAAATGCCTGCCCATGCTATCGTGGCATACTAAGCATGTTTGTATAATTGTACACACTATAAATAAAGAATATGAATTAAAAAAAAATAGTTTTTTAAAAAGTCATATTTTAATTTATTCGTTCTGTCTCTTTATGAGATCATGTTTTTAGTGGGTTTAGCACATCCTGTAAGATATACTTCTCCTGCATACCCCTGTTTTTAAAGCACCGATCTGCTTACCGTAACAGGTTAAAAGACACCAACACTTTATTTTGTCTCTCTCTCACACCATTGATTGTCCAACACTGCTGAAATAAATCATTCTTGCTGTTTCTCTCCTCTCTTAGTGCTTGCTGCTCGTGCTGCTCTGTCACAGAGCCTGCCCCTTCTTCTCTGGCAGGCATTGCTTTCCCTTAAGATTAATTAATGCATGAGAGATTCCAAGAGGAGGGTTTCTCTGGTAACAGACACACAGAGCACAGCCTTCATATCTATGTGCCTATCAGCACAGACTTAACTGCCTGAGAGGAAAGGGGCAAATGGCTGTTTTTAACCTTTAATTTTAGAGAATGTTAGACGTTTTTGACAGTTCTGCTATTACAATGTATAGATGAAATTTGATTCTCTATCATTTAAGATTAAGCTGTAATTATCATGACAGGTACGTTCTAAAGAATGCCTCTCTGATAGACCCTGTTTGATGCTACATATGCATATTAAACTGAATATATTATTGTGTTAGTGTAACTTGTAGAGTTAATTATGTTCATAAGGATAAATCAAACGTATGCAACTTAAACTTCAGATACTTCCAGACATTAATAAATTAATAAAAGCAGATAATGCAATATCATACTGGAGTGGAAGGGTGCCAGTTGATAGGTTCCAGACTTTATAGAGTAGGTCCTCAGACACAATAGTGCCCCGGAACAGGAATATACGCCTGTACAAGCACATAGAAACTCAAATACTTTGAACTACAATACAATTATTTGCAGGGAGTGTGTCCAAAGTGTGGCACAAGGAAGGCCAATCAACAAGAAAAAAGTTAGAAAGCCAGGATACAATATGGTAAACAGGAGCACATTTTATCTACATAATAACTGAGCAATGATACCGTGGGTTTACAAGTTTTTATAGTGTGTGTATATATGCATCTGGCAATAAATTTGTTCATGGCTTTCAAGTTCAGCAGTTGGCATTGAGAAAATTCCAAACATAAAGAAAAAATGCTACTGTTTGAAAAGAAAACATATCACCTGTGTACATTGCACAGCGAACAACACTGTTAGCATATTTTAATCTATATAGTTTATATTCAATTATAAGTAAATAGTTACATAGTTACAAAGCTGAAAAGAGACTTCCGTCCTTCAAGTTCAGCCTTCCTCACATATGTTTTTGCTGTTGATCCAAAAGAAGGCAAAACGCCCAGTTTGAAGCGCTTCCAATTTTGCAACAAACTAGGAAAAAATTCCTTCTTAACCCCAAAATAGCAGTCAGATGTCTCCTTGGATCAAGCAGCTATTCTTCCAGCCTAAATGCATGACCTCGTGTCCTATGTATAGCCCTGTTTATGTATTTTCTTTCCAGATAATGGTTTGTACTGGCCCCAAATATATTTGTATAATGTTATCATATCCCCTCTGAGGCGCAGTTTTTCCAAACTAAAGATATTTAAATTTGTTAACCTTTCTTCATAACTAAAATGCTCCATTCCTTTTCTCAATTTTGTAGCTCATCTCTGCAATTTTTCTAATGCCATGATATCCTTCTTTAGAACAGGTGCCCAAAATTGCACAGCATATTCAAGGTGTGGTCTTACCAGCGCTTTATAAAGAGGCAAAATTATATTTTCATTCCGAGAATTTATGCCCCTATTTATACATGACAAAACCTTACTGGCCTTAGCAAGTCCAGATTGACATTGCATATTGCTGCCTAATTTGTCTCTAACAATTCCCAGATCCTTCTCGTGTGTGGTTATCCCCACTTCACTACCATTTAGGGTGTAAGTTGCTTGTGCATTCTTGAAACCTGAAGCTCATAACTTTGCATTTCTCTGCATTACATTTCATCTGCCATTTTAGTGCCCACTCCCCCAAGCTATCTGAATCCCTCTGCAGCAAAGCAATATCCTGCTCACATTTTATTACTTTACAAAGTTTTGTTTCATCTGTAAACACTAAAACATAGCTTTCAATGCCTATTTCAAGATGATTTAAAAATATGTTAAATAGAAGCAGTCCCAAAACAGAACCCTGAGGGACACCACTTTCCACTTCTGTCCGTCTTAAAAATGTACCATTAATGACAACTCGTTGTAATCTATTCTTAAGCCAATGTTCTACCCAAGAATATTAATTTAGACCAATTTCTTTTAGTTTGAAGACTAACCTATTGTGAGGAACCATATCAAATGCCTTGGCAAAATCCAAGTAGATCACATCCACTGCAACACCCTGAGCTGTACTTCTACTTACTTCTTCGTAGAATGCAATCAGGTTAGTTTGACATGACCTATGTTTCATAAAACCATGCTGATTATTGCTAATAACATAAGTTCTTCCCAATGAAATCCTGAATATTATCCCTTAATAGCCCTTCAAATATTTTCCCAGTCACAGAATTTAAGCTGACAGGTCAATAATTTCCAGGCAAGGAATTTGAACTCTGTTGGGAATAATACACTTTGCCTATATGCAATGCTTAGTGACCCAAGGCTCAAGCTACAGATGGCCAGATGTCCAGTCTGTTTAAAATTGGCTATCTTGGAGCATGTCAGCTATTGGGAATAATACACTTTGTCTATATACAATGCTTAGTGAATATACCCCTAGACAGAGTTATAAACTTTCCTGTCTCAGATTGTTGGTTTTATTTCCTGTTTTCTATTTCTGTCTTCTAACTGTGCAGTAACATATCTATTTTATGAGTCCGTAGTAACTTTTTATTTCAGCTGCATAGTTAAACTGAAACTATAATGAGTACTCCCCCATTACACCTGCAAGCTAGCTATAGAATTAGATATGTTGAGATAAGATTGATGAATGATGTTGACATACAGGGAGTGCAGAATTATTAGGCAAGTTGTATTTTTGAGGATTAATTTTATTATTGAACAACAACCATGTTCTCAATGAACCCAAAAACTCATTAATATCAAAGCTGAATATTTTTGGAAGTAGTTTTTAGTTTGTTTTTAGTTATAGCTATGTTAGGGGGATATCTGTGTGCAGGTGACTATTACTGTGCATAATTATTAGGCAACTTAACAAAAAACAAATATATACCCATTTCAATTATTTATTATTACCAGTGAAACCAATATAACATCTCAACATTCACAAATATACATTTCTGACATTCAAAAACAAAACAAAAACAAATCAGTGACCAATATAGCCACCTTTCTTTGCAAGGACACTCAAAAGCCTGCCATCCATGGATTCTGTCAGTGTTTTGATCTGTTCACCATCAACATTGCGTGCAGCAGCAACCACAGCCTCCCAGACACTGTTCAGAGAGGTGTACTGTTTTCCCTACTTGTAAATCTCACATTTGATGATGGACCACAGGTTCTCAATTGGGTTCAGATCAGGTGAACAAGGAGGCCATGTCATTAGATTTTCTTCTTTTATACCCTTTCTTGCCAGCCACGCTGTGGAGTACTTGGACGCGTGTGATGGAGCATTGTCCTGCATGAAAATCATGTTTTTCTTGAAGGATGCAGACTTCTTCCTGTACCACTGCTTGAAGAAGGTGTCTTCCAGGAACTGGCAGTAGGACTGGGAGTTGAGCTTGACTCCATCCTCAACCCGAAAAGGCCCCACAAGCTCATCTTTGATGATACCAGCCCAAACCAGTACTCCACCTCCACCTTGCTGGCATCTGAGTCGGACTGGAGCTCTCTGCCCTTTACCAATCCAGCCATGGGCCCATCCATCTGGCCCATCAAGACTCACTCTCATTTCATCAGTCCATAAAATCTTAGAAAAATCAGTCTTGAGATATTTCTTGGCCCAGTCTTGACGTTTCAGCTTGTATGTCTTGTTCAGTGGTGGTCGTCTTTCAGCCTTTCTTACCTTGGCCATGTCTCTGAGTATTGCACACCTTGTGCTTTTGGGCACTCCAGTGATGTTGCAGCTCTGAAATATGGCCAAACTGGTGGCAAGTGGCATCGTGGCAGCTGCACGCTTGACTTTTCTCCGTTCATGCGCAGTTATTTTGCGCCTTGGTTTTTCCACACGCTTCTTGCGACCCTGTTGACTATTTTGAATGAAACGCTTGATTGTTCGATGATCACGCTTCAGAAGCTTTGCAATTTTAAGAGTGCTGCTTCCCTCTGCAAGATATCTCACTATTTTTTACTTTTCTGAGCCTGTCAAGTCCTTCTTTTGACCCATTTTGCCAAAGGAAAGGAAGTTGCCTAATAATTATGCACACCTGATATAGGGTGTTGATGTCATTAGACCACACACCTTCTCATTACAGAGATGCACATCACCTAATATGCTTAATTGGTAGTAGGCTTTCGAGCCTATACAGCTTGGAGTAAGACAACATGCATAAAGAGGATGATGTGGTCAAAATACTCATTTGCCTAATAATTCTGCACTCCCTGTACTTGAAAATGAGAGAAATCTCAATGTATCGTTCCTGGTAAAATATTCTATAAATAAATAAATTATTGGTTAATGTTTATAAGACCACCCCTGTTTCCTCTTGAACATAACATGTTACACAGCCTATTACATTTTATAAGTCACCTTGAACCTTACGTTGTCTTGTGTCGTTGATTGGTGCTCCTCACCAGCTATTTACAGAGAGTTCCAAATTGATTAGAAGTCCATGGCATGACATAAAGGAAAATTCCTGATGCAGCTAATCTTCACTTACAAACCCTTTCTAAATATAGGAACGACATCTGCCTTCCTCCAATCCTCCAGTACAATACCTGAACCAAAAGAATCTTGAAAGATTAAATACAGAGGTTCACTTATTTCCTCACTTAGCTCCTTAAATACCCATGGGTGAATGCCGTCAGGCCCCGGAGCTTTATTTACATAAATTTTCTTTAACTGCTGTAGCACCTTGTCTCGAGTCATCCAATCACAAGTTATCTGCAAGTTTTTTGCAGCAATCATTTGCATATCTCTTGCCACTGGATCCTCATTAATATATTCTGAAGAAAAATAGTTATTTAAAATGTCTGCCTTTTCCTGGTCTTCATTAACTAACAGACCCATCTCTGTTTCCAGTGTGCATACACTGTCATTTTCTTGAAAAAGAAATTGGAGTTGGTTTTGGATTATTTGGCTTTCAATTTCTCATTTTCTAGTTTAGCCACTTTAATTGCCTTTTTGCATGCATTATTGGCCTTACTTATCTTATATAGGATGCCTCTGATTCATCTGATTTAAATGCTTTAAATGCCCTTTTCTTATTATTATTCTCTTGTTTCACTTCTCTACTAAGCCACATTGGTTTCACTTTCTTTCTTTTATATTTATTACCCAATGGTCCAAACTGAGAAATGTACCTTCCTAATATTTGTTTGAAGAGTTTCCATTTATCCTCAGTGCTTTTTTCACTAAGGAGTTTATGCCAGTCGATATGTTGTAGAGCTGCCCTAATCTTATTG